TTTCAGGGACACAGGCTGATAGTCGATTGTCAAACCATGATAATCGATTATCCAAAGATTCCCTGTCCAAAAATTTAAAATTCTATCCGTTGGAGGACAACGGTAACCCAGATAATCGATTGTCAACAAGTGATATTCGATTATTGGTCCTCTCAGAAGTTTCTGGGTTTTGGCTGCAAAGGCTGATAATCGATTATTGCAAAGCTGATAATCGATTATTGCGTGCTTCAGAACTTTGGAAGTTCAAAGCTGCAGTGGCTGATAGTCGATTGTCACTAAGGTGATAATCGATTATCACCCAGCTAAAGTCTAGCCAGCTGAAACCCGTTTTGAAAAAACCGAGGTCCAAAAACGAAGTGTTCCCAAAAGTAAAAACCAAGTTTGAAAAACATTGTATATGGTATTAAATAGTGAAAACAAGACTTTTTTGGTAAAAACCAAGTCTCCAAGGTCGTATAATACGTACGTACGGTTTAGACCGTTTTTCACGTATTAGACCGATTGACCAAGATACAAAAGTGGTTTTTATAAAATAATTATTCGGGAACCTTTAAAATATGCTCAGAGAAAAAAAGCAAGGTTTAAAACATTGAAAACCACCGAGTTGGTTCGGGCGCCAAAAACCGAACGCCGAACACCGAGTGCCGAACACTGTACGCCGACTTAGGTGGTTTTGGTTCTGAGCAAGGACCAAGGATTTTAACAATAAAAAATTTATCTAAAATGTTTATTTTGATGCATAAAAACATTTTATGATATTGTGAAATAATTTTGACTCTTTGAGAACCGAGACTTGAATTGATTATCGGTTTTGATCACAAAAGACCGACTCAACTAAGTCTTCAATTCTTGATCTTGTACTTGAGTCTTTTTGGTCATGTTCCATGCCATTCTTCACGCCTTGAGTTATTCAACGAAACTCTTCATATCCACGGCGGTTTGGCAATTATCAAAACCTGTCAGAAATGAACACGACTTTAGTTTAACGTACAAAGTGTGTTCCAACACCTAAGGTCTACCATAAAATTTGCCCAAAACATAACTGATATAGTATCTCATAAACCCAATTTTTCTACACCAAAAATGCAAAATTAAAAGAGCAATGCTACATTCACAAACAGAATAGTCACAACCTTCACAATTATATCATTTATAGTTTAAATTTTTATTTCAAAATTATTTTAGACTAATTAAAATTTTTTATTGAAATTTACAAATATTAAATTTATGGATTTTAGGACAAATTTGTTTGTCAATATAGCATTTCTTAAATATAAAAAAGAGTAAGTTACGGAGCATTAAAAAAATTCTTGGAGTGGTGGATGGGGTCAGGTCGCAATTGTGAGGATCCGTAAAAATCAATTACTGCCTATCAGGCAAAAGAAATTTCGGTCAATTATTTAAAAAAATCAATAAGGAGAGAGGTGGCAAGGAGCCGTAAATATGGTACACTTATTAACTACCTAAACCCTTTTTTTAGTTTATGAGGGACTTCTTTTTCTTTTTGGGCTTGACGAGTTGGGGCGAGGACTGGGGGCACATTAATTTAGAGACTGGGGGCAGGTTCTCTAATCACCCAATTTTTATATTTTTTTTAATACTAACTGGGCAGATTTGACTGGGCCATTGCCCCCAATAAGGCCTTCCTACATCCGCCCCTGCCTCTTGTTCATCTTATTTATCAAACAATAATGAGTCAAGTTTTTTACTTTATTTAAAAGTTTGTTCAAAAAGTTTATCTTCAACTTTGTAGTCAAATTCTCTTCCTCAAAAGCATGTTGTGTTTGGGTGCAGAGCAATATAACTTGCGAGATGAATGCAGATGTTATTGAGCAGGAAATTACCGGTACGCAAATATGAACTTTGTACAAATAGAAATAAAATATAACTCCTATCCAAAATGAATGGAAGTTTTATATTTTTATTCCAAAAATAAGAGTTTATATTATGACATTGTGATACTGGATCATGACTTTTATAAGAGTTACATACTTTAATCCCAAACATAACTCTTATCCCAAAATAAGATAACAATGTTTTTTTGAAATAATAAAGTGAAGAAGTATCACTTATTTTCAAATCTCTATCTTGATTTAATCTTTTCATTTTGATTCTTCTTGGGAGAAAGACCAAAGTAGGATTAAAACATTGAAAATATACCAAAATTGGACTTTCATATTTTTATTTTTGAAATAGGACTTACATTACTAAAACGATCATGTATATTACCAAAAAAGTATAGTAATGTCCACATGCACAATGCCACATTACCAGAGTGCAAAGTCCTATTTCAGAAAAAACATAAAATTTCTATTTTGATACTTTTCTCTATGTTTTAGTCCTATTTAGGGTGATTTGTAATTATTTTCTCCTTACAGGAAGCTTGACTATGTTGAAGTAGGTGGATTGCTCGTATTTTTTAATGAAAGGAGGAAATTTTTATCCAAACACACATGTATATAAGAAAATAGAAAATTAAATTCGGACAGAGGGAGTCAAAAGATAGAGTTGACAAATTTTAACCACTCACTAAATAAAATTTATATTAGATATTGATTCAAAAATAATTTTATTAAATATATTTTATAAAACCTTTTCGAAATATAATATTAGTATTTTTAATTTCTAAGTAATATACCACATATCTTTTAATTAATTTGAGATTAAGAATGAAAATAATGGACGGTAAAATTCAAAACTTGACATATACACAAGAAAGAACATAACATTTGACAGTAGAAAACACCATATCCACAAATTACCTACAAAAACATGAGAAGATCCTCCATCTTGCTTCTTGGTTACAATTTACAAATAGTACGTAGACACTTCTTCTGAAGGTCATGTTCTCTTCCTCTAATCTAAATAGTTCTCATCTGATTAGAATAAGTTTTGAAATAATCTGATCTTAATGTAGTTATATTTAAAGTTGTTTCTTATATAATCTAATCTAATCTTGTATGATCTAATATGGTCTAATCTAATTTCAATAAGAAAAAGTACCCAAAAAGTAATACTCCCTCCGTCCCAAAAAGATTTACACGTTTCAAAAAAATTGTGTCCCACAATCCCTTACCTATTTCTATTAAAAAACTACTTTTACCCTTTACTTTTTCAAACCCTACCTGTCACATCATACATTTTTCCTAATAATCTACACATCGCATCCTACTTTTACCCATCACATCAGGGGTATTTTTGGAAAGTCAACACAAAATTATCCCTCTCTTAATTCTAACTTTAGTCAAAATGGGTAACACTTTATGGGACGGAGGGAGTAAGTAATAAGAATAAATAAAGAGAACTTGGCCTAATCTAAACTCTAAAGTACGCATTTTTTAATCTGCATT